TATATATATATATATGTAGGCATGTACGCATGTATGCACGTTTCCGTATGCATGTGTGCCCGTGTGCATGTATTCAGGTACGCATAAATGCATGCCTATGTATTATGTGTGCTTGGATCCATGTACAGTGCACCGGGTTGGTAATATGATACAGTCTAATGTAAGATAGCAGAATGTAATGCATCACATTAACAGAAAATCATAATACAACATAGCACACTATAGTAGAAATTAAAGTAGCAGACTAAAGACAGAACTCACCACAACATAATGGAAGTACACGATAATGTAGTATACATACTCATTATTCCCCGTCGAATATCATGATGATATGTGAAGCGATATTGTCTTGTAGTCTGTTGTGTAATATTGATAGATAGAATCCATACGGTCATACGGTGTTGCATTGTGTTGTATTGTAACATGTTATAATTTACTATACCATGTCATATGACATGGTTTCATATGATATTAGCATGCTCTATATCTTACCATATAATCTCAGAATATAATATATGGTATTATATGGCAGTGTATTGACAGGTTTTGCTTTGGTATGTTATGGTATATGACAGGTCTTGTATTATGTTAAGCCAGATTATATCATACGACACTTTTACAGTATGCCTCATAGCAGAGCAGTACATGCTATGAGGTTACATCATATGGATTCATCTGGTACTGCACAGTATATATATATATATATACACACACACATATCATATGGTATCACGATACAACAAAATACTGTAGATTTGTACCTTACTTTTTGCATCGTTCTTTATGGTCTACGTGTGTGTACTGTACACTCTTAACCCTTAAGACGCTATTGACTGTATAGCATTTATCTAATATCCGTGTGCGGCGCATTGTGCACTTCACATTGTACATATCTATATCACACAAATACACATCGGATTTTATACTTCTTACATACGTTGTATCACAAGACGGCACTCGAGCGGACCTGATATGGCAACGAGGCAGCAGATGCCTCCCACCTGCACCCTCGGCCGTGAACTTAGCCTTCGTGACATCACAATTCAAAGCGAACCGAACGGAGCTCTCGTGTGAAACCGAGATCACCTCCGGCTGCAATCGCTCCTCCGGTGGCAGCAAAAGTTCCAGAAGGCTTGTCAGACTTGCCGTCATGTCACAGCAGCAGGGGTACAGTTGATGGCTTTCTGCTGATGGCATGTCTCCTTGAGGTGTGCCTGCGCCTGAAGCGAAGCAGCACCTCGCCGGCGGCTCTGCAACGGCTGCTAGTTCGAGAGGCATCGCTGAGATGGCTGAGACCGGCTCGCACCCGGCAGAGCCTTCGCAAGGCAGCCGGACCATGCGAAGCGGCATGTCCGCAGGAGCGATGCAGCCCCTGCAATCGCAGCAGACCCCCTTAGACTTGGACGCAGAAGCTTTGCTCACAAGATCCTCCCGGTCACGGCCTTTGAGACTTGAGGACGAGGACGGCAGGATGGGCTCGCCGCGTCCCGGCCGCGGCAAGCGGCAAAAGCTCTCTGAGAGCCCGAGCCCGTCGCGGCTCAGAGGTCAGGCTCTGCTTCAGTGGCTCTGGAAGCGACGTCTGGATAGAGGGGTTGACACTGGCAAAGTGGGGGAAGTGTCCGGTGGTGCGGACGTTGAGTCTGTTGCAAGGCCCATCCGCAACGCAAAACAGCTGCTGCAAGAACAGCTCAAGCAGTTCAAGCTGCTCTTAGAGAACCGGGAGAGCCCGGAGACTGAGTTTGGGCTGTCGGCTGCACCTCCTGTGGTGACCACAAGGCCATATCGCAAGAACCAGAAGGCACCGTTGGAAGGCGGCACGGTTCTCCTGCCTCCCACGTGCCTGCAAGTCGACGCCGTGCTCGGGGCGGAAGCGACGGACGCCTGGGACAAAGTGCAGCGGAAGGTCCTCCTCGAGGCGAAGCGCGCCGAGCGCCGCAGTGCGCAGGCAGCCAAGGCTCCCAGCGGCGTTCCGGGGCCCTCCTTTCTTCTGCCGTGGAGGAGCCTGGAGGTGGGTGATTGTCAAAATTATGGTCCCTTTTTTGGGTCCTTATAATACGGCACAACTACTCCAGGTGTCCTTGGAGGCTTCGCTCTTCCAGAAGGCTCATCTGCAGCTCCAGAAGCGCTGTGACTTGGAGCCCGGTCGACGAGTGCTCATGCGACAGCTCGGCGGGCAGCCGACGGCGGGCCTTTTTGAAGACCCCGCCGCAGGGTCGGCGATGGCCAGCGTGGCCCTGAACGCGGCTCTGGTGGGATTTTTGCCGGCCGAGAGCACCGGCAACGAGTTCCAGGCCGCGACTTTGCTGCCGAGCCGGCGGAGCGGTAGTTTGGCGGAGCTCGTGGAGGCCGCCAGGCCTGGTCTCCTCGGAAGCTGGCATCCCTGCCCGGCCCTGGCTGTGCCCACTGGTTGCAAGGATGCCCTCTTATGCACGCGACTCTTTCGGGACACCTGCGCAGGCCTCACCAGCACATTTGCAGGGCGCATGGCAAGAGAAGGGCTCACAGAAGATCAGCCCCTGGCACCCTCTGGTGGCCAGGAACACTGTTTCTGCAACGTCTGTTCCGAGTGGCTCTCCAGAAGCAGCAGCAAGTCGCATCAGTGTTCCTCCCAATCGCATGTGGGCAAACCGCAAGCGACAGAAGCGAAGCCGAAGCCTCGGCTCAAAATCTTTCACCAGTCCTGGGATGGTCTTGAGGTCCGACTCTCCTTCCAGCACACCCGGCAGACAGTGGAGATTTCCTGCGATGCCGTCCTTGAGAATGCCTTCAAGCGGCTGCTTTGGCCCCAGGTGTGGGAACCCAAGCAGGTAAGCAGCAGCTGGCGTCTGACAAAGCCTCAGAGCCAGCCCTGCCAGAGCTCTCCCACTCCGAACTTGAGCCTCAGGGTGCCCTACGAGGACTTCACGCAGCCTGGGCGGTTCCTCCTCTCCTCGTCTCAACTGGCCTTGCTAGGCTGGATGCGGCAGCAGGAGCGACAGTCCGTTTTCAAGTCCCAGCAGACCATCCGTCAAGGCCTCTGCGAGGTGCGCCAATAAAACTCCAATAATAGGAGGAATAGGTAGATTTGAAGAGTTCTTTCGTGGCTTTCAAGTCCACGCCTGAGCGGTCTGACTTGAGCTTTGCAGCGCGTGCCGTTTTGGGCTGTTTATGTGTCTGTTCTCGGCACAGCTTGACTTCGTGGTCTAGTCTCTTGTTTTTGTTTTTGACCATTCCCTGATGCTTTCCCTGAGACGGATCTAGCGCTGGAGCTGCAGCTCACTCGCGAGTTTGAGTCCTCTGGTGGCCTTATCCTCACCAGGGCCCCGAACGAAGAGCCCTACTTCGACAGGGCTGTGGCGACCTGTGTGCTGGCCCTGATGGAGGATGCTGAAACTGCCAAGCCAAGCCCGATGCTGAGCAAGCGCAGATGTCGTCTTGAAGCCACGGCCACGCTCATCCTCGTACAGCAGCAAAGTCTCCCATATTGGCAGCAAGCGTTGGAGGCCGCTCCCATGTCGCGTCGGCGCGTGGTCATCATTGGCAACCAGCGCAAGATGCGAAGTCTCACCGTCGCCGAGGCCCTCCTTCACAGCAGCTGCACTCATGTTTACCGTTTACCTTATAGCCTTGTAGCTTGTGCACGATCGAGCCTTGCGCAGGTAGTGGAGGCTGACTTGATCTTGGTGTCCGTGCAGCTCTTCAGCTCAGAAGCCTATCAGCGCCACTTCGACAGCCTCTCAAAGCCAGGGCTACAAGTCTGGGATGCGTCGTCGCTGCAGAAGCGGATAGATACCGTCCAGGGCCAGGGCGATGCAGAGCCGGAGGAGCTGTGCCAAGACGTTGAGGGCAGCTTTGAGCAGGGTGACTTGGTTACCATCCACGGACTCATCGCCAAGGCCCACCTCAACGGCCGCCGCGGCCAGTTGATCGGTTGGCAGGAGGACGCACTAGGGTTTGGCGCAATTAGGCGTAGGATTTAGGGCTTAGGGTGCGGAGTTTAGCCAGAGGAGAGGCGGACTCTGGATTTAGCTAGCCACCAGAAGCACAAACGGCACAAGCAACACAACAAGCCACGACAACAGTAACAGCAGCTATTGCCAAATTGCTGCTGCTGCTGCCGCTGCTGCCGCTGCCGCCTCTGGTGTGGGCACCTACAGCTAGCAACAACACGAACCATACTGGAGGACACGGGGCGCTGGTCCTGCTTGCTGGAGGCATCGAAGTCAGCCAAAGTGCCGAAGTCCACAGCCAAGAGAAAGAGGTCCACTCCTGAAAGCAGCGAGGCTCAAGGTAAAGAGCTTAGGGGGTTTAGGGGGTTGTGTAGAGTTTGGGGTTTCGGGTGTGATTGTGTAGACTTTGGAATTTAGGGCTCAGTAGCTTAAGGTTCAAGCCTCAAAGTTAGGGTGTAGGGTTTAGGGCGTAGGGCTTCGGGTTTATGTGGCTTAACCCTGAGCGCCCTATGACTGAGGCGGCCAACTCATCAACGTCCGCCCCTGCAACTTGAGAGCGCTGCGGCCAGGACCGATGAAGCCAGAGTTCCCAAGCTTCTTGGGTTATCTGAACCCTAAACCCTGAACCCTAAACCCTAAACCCTGAACCCTAAACCCTAAACCGGCCGTACCTTCCGCAATGCGGATTCGGCCGACCTTAACTGCCAGGCGGAAAAAGGTGCTCAACAAAAAAAAAAACCCTAAACCGGAGGCTTCCAAGGATTTTGCGTGAGACTCTGCCTGACTTGCGGGCGGATTGGAGAGTTTTGGGCTTCGGGGTCGGCCTCTAGGTGCGTTTGTCCGTGAGCACGGGAGTTGAAGGGCGTAGCCCATGGGTCTTCGGGTGTAAAGTTGAGCCTTGAACGGTCTAAACTTACATGATGAGTTTAGGGTTTAGGGTTTAGGGTTTAGGGTTTAGGGTACTTACATGTTCGACCCCAGACACTGAGTTAAAAGTAGCCCGTCCTCCAAATCCACAGAGACAAGACCTCCGAGAAATCCAGGAGTTCGGAAGGCCTCGCCGCGAAAGCGGCTTCTCGAGACCCCCTTGAAGGTTCCTCCGTCCTGTTACTGTTGCACCATAGGGCTTCAGGTGGAGGGTTTGGGGTTTAAGGTTTGGGGTTTAGGATTGAAGACTTAGGCTTGAGGTTTAGGACGGTTTAGGGTATTGTCTGCAGCGTTTTGCCGATGGTCTTCTCGCTCTCCTTTCAGATATACCTTTCCAGGTGTAGCTATGCCTAGGTTGAGGCATAGATCAAGGGAGCTCCGCATTCGCCATGGGTTGATGTTACGACCCCACACCCTTGAACCGTCAGCCCCGCATCCAACTACTGATGCACTCCTAAACCACGACCCTGATCCCAGGTATCAAAGTACTACTCTGAACTGCGGTCGAGAGAAGATTACATGGCCCGACGCCAGGTGGGATGTTTGAATGCAACATTGCCTTAGGAAGCAAGGTGCAACAGCGCCTTAATTGAAGGTTTTGACAGCTACAGTTGCCTTACTTACTTCAAAATGCCATGGGATTGTATTTGGCAGTTCCAAAGCATTGCAGCCATGCATTCGTGCATGCGTATGTACTCTGCATAACTGTATAGCCCAATGCAATCTCTGTGGCATGTGTCTTTGTATCTGGTACTGCATCCAATATGTGTGTCGAAATTTGGTCTAGTCTCCGCTAATGCAATATTATCAAGCGTGCCAGGTAATTCAATATGCTGCAGCATAGTGTCTTGCTTTGTGCTGCACCGTACTGTGCTCTTTTGCGATGCACTGCGATGTAGTGCAATGGCATGCGATGTCAAGCAGAGTGTAGCACGACTACCCAAGGCGTCGACACAAACAGTAGGTAGGCGCAGCGGTCGATGGATAAGCTGGCGCGGCCCCCAATAGACAGAAAGACAAACAGACGACTGACAACTGTACAGGGGCAGAAACGGCTGACAAGACAGATTCTCCAAAAGAGCTAGACAGACCGCAAGGTGGAGTTGGAGCGCCACACCTTCCGCCTCGTGCACCAGGTACGGGGGCATGAAAACTCTGCATGGTCGAAGGGCCAATTATTATTATGATTATAATTCTTGCTATTATTTTTGTTATTATTATGGTTATTATTGTTTTATTATTATCTCGATTAACTATCAACAGGAGCCATCTCGGGTGTCCATGCAACTTCGGAGCCTCCAGGGATCTGATCCCGATCCATTCTTTTCAGCCATTAGCCATGACCCTAGATCTCTCCTCTGTTCCTTAAAAATTGAGACGCCGCGACAGCAGGCTGTGTCCACGGGCCTGTCGAAAGCAAACGAGGACCGACCGCCGCAATTCCGGTTTCTGATTGCGCTGCGCGACTTGCGACAGACCACCAAGGAATAGTGCCAGCTCTCATGCCACGCAGAACATGATTCCCTAAACCCTAAACCCTAAATCCTAAACCCTAATTCGGACATGTCACACGAGAAGATGCAAGATCGAGCTGCATCGTCTAGCGGCTGGCAACCCGCCTACGCTTTGTCTGAGATCCGGCAAGAATCGAGATAATAATAATAGTAATAAAAACAATAACAATAACCATAGTAATAGCAATAAGAATAATCATAATACTAGTAGTAATAATAATAAGAACTAAAATTATTATGATTCCTCTCGCCTCAGGAGCCCCTGGCGAACACAGAGGAGGCTGGGCCTGGGTGGGTTCTGGCTATCACGCTGCTCGCGTACCAAATACTTACCAATACTATTTGGGGGGTTCCTTTTTATGATTATAGTAATTATAGTATGATGGAATTCTGAGCATCAAGGCCTTTCATGCTCTTCTGATTGAGGGGTCCTCCCTCCCCCCACCCTGCGGAAAGTCCAGTGACGCATCGACTTCAGGACAATTTAGGATGTGTCCACTCAAGATATTGCTTCGCCGGTCTTGAGCTTGCTGCTGCCGTCAACTGAACCGCTAAATGAGAGCTTGCAGCACTCAGCCTGACGCAAGACACGGAGCACTCTGATGCGTAGCGGTTTCAGTGCAGGCTGCGCCGGAAGTCATGGAGAAGGTTCAGTTCCCGCTTCTCGCATCATCTGCTTCCGAAGTCACCGGCAGCGACTCTGCAGCAAGACATCGCAATGACCGAGACAGCATTCTCTTTGATTTCAGTACCCGTCTACAGCACTGTTTACTAGTGTCTTATAAGTAGCATCCTAAGTAGCAGCATTCAAGTTTCGTGTTCCTTCTGTGGGTGTGCTGTTGTGGTGCTCCAGTAGTGTGTCTGTGTCAGGTCCCGCATTGCTGGAGATGTTTCGCTTCAAACGCCTGGTGATTGACGACTGTCACCTTGTGGCGAGGCCCAGGGGAAGAACCCCTAGAACACCCAAGCAGCGCTTCTTTCAGCCCACTAAAAACCCTTAACCCTAAACCCTAAACCCTAAACCCTAAACACCCACAAAAAACAGCCGGACGTGAACGAGACAACGGCGAGCTCCTCAAGCCTCTTCGGGCCCTGGGCCCTCCCAGCAATTTTGGAAACCTAAATTCGTCGTACAAGTAGAGCCTTGGAGCCATAAGATGAAGCTTCAGGGTTTAGGCTTTAGGGATGCAGGGTTTGGGGATGTAGGGTTTGGGGTTTAGGGGTTTAGGGGTTTAGGGGTTGTATGGGGAGATCCCGATGCCCACAGGCCTTTGGGGCAGCTGGTCTCCAGCCGCAGCTCCCACAGTGGTGGTTTGAGCCAGTACCTGGGCAAGGCCTGCTTCAGCAAGCATGACGGAGCTCTCGGACGATTTTCCACGGTAATCTTATGCAATAGACACTGCATTTTATGGGAATATACTATATGCTACGGAGTATACCCATGATATCTACGAACTGTGGGAGGCGAAGCCAGCGTCATGTCAAGCGTGGTTGACCATGAGTCTTGCTGCTGATGTCTGACTCCTTCCGCCTGCACCCTAAGTCTAAGCCCTCGAGGGCAAGCTGACTATGAGGTGGCGCCGCTTTATGCCGTCCATGCCATCGAAGCCCATGCTCGCTGGGGTATCGCTCCCCTGACGCATCTCGGTAGCAGTGTGGACCGACATACAGGAGGCTGTCGTGTCGTGCGCTTGTAAGGTCGGTCACTTGCGATGAGGGGGTGTCTGAAGACGTGGCGCCGTCGACACCTCAGAACAGCGGTGATTCCAGCTCCTCGCGGCTCTCTCACACTCACTCAAGGATGGCCTCCTTGCTGGGGATTCAAATCCCTTGGTGCGACCGCCTTGAGGCAAGACCTCCACACTCTGCGCGATGCATCTCTGCCAGCCTCCTCTAACCCTCGAAGTCTCCGTGGCCTGCCAGGCCAACCGCTTCCTGCAGAGCCACGCGGCAGCGGCGGAGGACTGCTAGTAAGTGAAGAACACTGGTGGGCCTGGAGTGCACAATGCCGACGGTAGATGTACGTGAAGGTCAAGAAGATGATGCTGGTTGATTGAGGGTAGCATCATGTTCATCTAAGGTCGTCGTCGTCGTCGTCGTCGTCGTCGTCTCTGTCCTTGCTGTTGTGGCGCCTGCCCGTGTGAAGGCTTGCATTGAATGGCAGTCGTTTTGGTTCAAGGGCTCTGCAGCCCAAGCGGTGGCTCTGGTACAGCTGGTCATAGCCTGCTGCCAGAATGTTCCGCAGCTGCACTATGTCACTATGCCATCACTACGTGTCTAATTTCTGGGCTGCTGTGCAAGAGCGCCTTCGTAGATGTTGGGGCGCCTCAGGTTTGGTGGCCTCTCGCGTTCGTTGGGCCAGGGCGTGTCTGCTCCTGAGTCTGCTTTGCTGCGGCAGCTTCGCCCCATGCACGCCTTGAGCCGTCCTGCATGTGGATGGTATTTCAACTCAGAATTCAGGTCTCCTGTCATGTTTTGTCCACCTCCTTCCCCAGGTGTTGAAATCAAGCGCCCCTAATGTCTGCTGTGGCAGCCAGCTGCCCTGCGACCTTCGTCCCTCTCAGACTTGGTTTCCTGCGGGTTGACGCTGTCACGTATCTTCGGCCTCGTCTCTTCATGCCAATGTGATACAAAAAGGAGCTCAAAGGGATGTCTGTGCAATGGTTGAGCATCGACGTGCAGCACTCGCTGATGCTTTTCATGCGAAGACTCCAGTCACTCAGGCGACGTGCTGCAGGCAACGTCGTCAGACAGGCACGCAACATTTCCTCTCTCGAAGCTCTACGCCGTCTTTGAGCCGGTTGCAGGCTGCTCGCACTCCAATGGCCATGGAGGAGCCTTGAATCACTGAAGTCCACAGCGCTCTGCGAGCATAGTGGCAAGTGTAAGCAAGTCCGTATCCATCGAAGGCAACGATGCCTCAAGCTTGGATGACGAAGCCTTTGCTAAGGCAAGCCAGCATCTTGTTTTCGGAATCAAATGAAGGGGTTCAAATCACAAATCTGCTGCATACGCGAGATCGAAGCATTACTGACGACATGGTTGGGAGGCCTTTCAGTGTCCTTGGTGCGTCGAGCATGCAGCAGCTGGCGGCTCCGCTGCTGATCCTGGGCTAGCAGTAGTTAGTAGGCCTTCCAGAAGACTGGGAGTTACTTTTGGTGGACAAGGAGAACAAGAGGAACCATGAGAACGAAAACACCCTGGCAGGCAAAACCTTTACAACCCTAGACACCCCGCCGCACACCCTAAGCCCGAAGATCCCTTACAAGCCTTAAGCGGTCCTAAACACTAAACCATACAAACTTAACACCTAAACCTCAATCAGAAGCGAAGATGCGGAAAGAGCTCCTTGAGCAACAGGCGATCATCTTGGTGAAGCCTTTCTTGAGGTTGGGGTGGCTGAAGCCGAGCTTCTGCAGATGCAGGGTGAGTGGTCGTAAAGCAGATGGATGGGGCTTTGGTAGGGTTTAGTAGGGTTTAGTAGGGTTTAGTAGGGTTTAGTAGGGTTTAGGGTGTCCTCTCAGGAAGCCCGCAATGCCCGCGCGGCCCATGCCGCCTGTCATGGCTTCAGCGCCACCACAGGCAAGCAAGGAGGCCTGAAAGTCTTGCCGGGCCTCCGTGTCGCATCACTCTCCCAGAATTTAAAGCCCCAAACATCCCGACTAAGCTTCCAGGTCCTAGAGGAGACTGCGGCCGCCACACCAACGACAGGTGCGAAAGCTGCACGGGATTGGGTCACGGTAGTGTCGCATGCCGATTCTGATCATAGTTGCCCTGGCGCCAGGGCTTACGGACTTGTGCAAGAAAGACTCCATGGTTTTTGAGGCAGGTTGACAGCCTATGTATACATCGGTGCTCTTGATCTTCTAAAAACGCTGCAGATTGGCATCTCCTTCGTGGTGCTGCACTACCAATCCATCTTTATCGGCGTCATGCGTTGCCTGTTCCAGGCCAGGCAGTCGTAGCTTCTGCTCAATCGGCTTCGCCTCGTCTTAAGCAGGGGCGATGACAATCCCGTCAGGCTTTCCGTCCTCTGCTGATCCTCTTCATCTTCGGACAACTCATTAAGGCTTGCGGCAGTTTTTGGCTAAGCCTGAGAAATTTGGCACTTGACCGATGTCTGTCCCGTGCCAGAGAAGCTGCTTGGAGGCATTTTTCTTCATTGCGGGTGCGCCGATTTGGATGTCATTCTATTCCATCTGGATGTTCGAGGTCAGCTGGGGGCATCTTGCATCCGTTGGAGACAGAGCGTTGTTTTCTGTGACCGTGTCTCACAGTCATTCCGTTTGAGTTCCTGCTCTTGAGTCCTTGTTCAAAGAACAGTTGATACAGTGCTTCTTTGCAGCACTTCTTTGCTGCTGCTGCTGCTGCTGCTGATGGAGCCGCAACCTGATGCTCATTATGCCCCCGCCTCTGTCTTGGCAGAGAGGACGCGCACGGTGATCATGCGCGCTTGACCCAAGAACGCATCTGGACGTGCGGTGAAGCTTCCGACACAGAGAAGTTCAAAATGGCAGCTCCGAACATAAGAACCACCGCGTCTGGTGGCGAAAGTGCCCCCGGCCAAGCTGAACAATCATAACCTGCCTCTTCGAGATAAATATGAACAAAATTCAACAAAGGAAGCTCTAGGTGCCCCTTTCCCTCTCGGCCGAGAGCTGTTCAGATGATCATAAGATGACCACGTGTTTGGGGCTCAGTGGAGGTGACTTACGGACTGGCTCAGTGTGCAATCTCCTTCATCTTCATCAGAGACTCGGCTTAAGGGGGCAAGATTCTTGCAGTGCTGAGCCCTCTTTTCAGCCGTTTCCGGCTTTTTCCCGGCTTTTCGAGGCCCTAAACCCTAAACCCGAAACCCTATAAACCCTAAACCCTAGACCCTAGGTTTCTTCTACAACAACCTCTCCTTCGCCCGCATGCGCCCGGCCTTGAGCCAGATGCTGCGCCAGCAGAAGGCAGGGGGTTTAGGGGTTTAGGGGTTTAGGGGTTTAGAAGTTTCGGGTTTAGGGTTTCGGGGTTTAGGGGTTTAGGGGTTAGGGTTTAGGGGTTTAGGGTTAAGGGGTTTAGGGTTTAGGGTTTAGGGACCTGACACCCGACATATTCCGAGCCCAAGCCTTGAGCCCGAAGAGTTGAATCGAAAATCCTAAGCCCTACGCCTTGTATCCTTCTCCTCAACCCCTAAACCCTGGCCAAAACCCTGAACAAAGGCCCTAAACCCCTCAATCCTTATAAAACCCCAAAAGCATTCAACCCCAAAAGCCTGAAACCCAAAAGTACCCAAAACCTCGAGGGCCGCAACAAACTCCCCTAAACCCTAAGCCCTAAGTGACATTAAACCCTAAACCCTAAGCCCCCCTAAACCCTAAACCCTAAACCCTAAACCCTAAGCCGCCTGGCCAGGAGAAGCTGGCGCGCGCGGCGCGCGCTCTGCTGTGAAGTCCCCGAGCCCCGTCCTTGGGGCTTTGTGGAAGCGATTCCGGGGGTTTTGGGTTTTAGGTTGTGGGTTTAGGGTTTAGGGTTTAGGATTTCGAGCTTAGGGTGGTTTAGGGTTTTGGGCTTAGGGTCATTGTTTAGAGTCTTGGGGTTTTAGGGCTTTGGGTTGAGGGATTTGGGGCTCAGGACCGGTGAGAAAGATGGCTTGAGGACCAGAAGCTCATCAAAAAGCTGCAGCTTGGTGTGTTTTGTGAGTGGGAAGCGCCTCCTTTTAGGGGTTTAGGGGTTTAGGGTTTAGGTCTGCAAACACTTAGGGCCTAAAGGTTTAGGGTTTAGCTTTGCTGTGGATCTGTCAGCCAAGGAGGGGCAACCTGCTTGAATGGAGACCTCAAACTGAAAGGGGCCGTAGAAAAGTAGAGCGCTGACACGACACTATTGTTTGCCCCCTCTCGCAGAAAAAAGGCACCGCACACAAGCTCTGATGTTGGACTACGTGCATGCGCATGGGTAAGCTGCCGCGGTATGAGCAGCACAGAGCATTTCTCGGAAAGGAGGTGGATCCGTCCGACGAGCCTCGACGAAAGGCGCGATGCTTCTGGCTCCGGGTTCTCCGGTTTCACTGGCACCCGACTGTGACAGAGCGTGACGCTGCCGATGCGCATGAGATGCGGAGTATCTTGGGCTCGAGCAGCTCATGTCATGAGGGCTCTTGGGGGAGTTCTGAGTTTCTCATGGAATCGCAAGAGCAAGGGAGCCTATGCGATCGCAGAGATCGCATCGGAGTAAGCCGGCCCGCAGGAAGGATGTTTACATGCAGAGAGATGACCCCAGGGAGGATTCCCGGAATTCTCTGTGCTCCTGGTTCCAAAGCCACCTCTGGCATGTCTGCTACAAGCTCTCCGGGTGCTGCGGCCTGCAATCTCCCTGGCCAGCTTGGAAGCGGGTCACCTCGGGGCTGTTGCTGCTAGCAGGCAACTTCCTACTTTTCTGGTACAACTTGACGATCTTTCTTCCAGCAAGCAAGCTTCCTGATCGTAGCAGTTGGAGGATTGCAGGATATAATGTGGAACCTGCCGCAGATTCGCAACTTCCGCGTCCCTTCCCATCCGCTTCGTCAGGCGAACAGCCGTGGCAGAAGCCAAGCACCCAGCAATGGCCAGTACCGAGAAGACCGAGTAGACGGGTGCCCGAGAGGGTTCCGTCAGAAAAGGATCTTGGGATTGTGGAGAATGCTGTAGACCAGGCAGATCGACTGATGTCTTATGCGCTCCTTCAGAACACCACCCAAATCATTCGTTTTAGAACACGCGCATGGATGATACCGATGCTCACACTTGCGAAGCGCCAGGAGTTGCCGTACCCTGACAAGATTACCCGCGCAAGCCCAACACATGGTGAGTACGCTGGACATGATAATGTGATGTTCGTATCGCCTTGCAATGCGGAAGAACTGCATGCACTGGACATACCCTTCGGTGATTTTTTGTTGGAAAAAGCGGCTTTTCTGCGCATGAACTGCTCAAAGAGGCAGCAGGTGCAAAACTTGGCCTCGAAGGTCGTGGTGGTATACATGAACTTGCGGGAGAGTGGGTATTTTGGACATGCAATCGACAACGTGCTGCCCCGAGTTTTCGCAGTTGTTGGCGGTGCCAGGCGATCTGGACATCGGGTGTCTCTGGTGCTGCCACCTCTCGGACGAAGGTCAATGAGTGAAAACACGAAGTTGCTCTGCAAGTTTCTCGGTCTGGAGCTGCTTCAACGCGTGCCTTTGGAGCCGCACCGAGTGGTCGGGATTAGTGGGGTTGCTGCCTGGAGCCGAGAGCTTCGCCAAAGCTTCCAGCAGGCCATCCGAAACTCTCCCCTCCTTGAGCCTCAGCCTGCTGTGACGTGTCGAGATGCGCCCCTGGCGCCCCTGAGTGCCAATGCGACGAACTCCATCAGCTCCGCCCTGACGCAGTGCGCGGCCTGCAACACCGGGCTGAGCCTCAGCGGCAACGCGTCTGCCGGGATTTTTCTCGGCCGACACGGCGGGACCCGGAATGCGAGGCCCGTGGAGGGTGCCCAGCTCCTGGAGGAAGCATTCGGAAAGCGGAAGTTTCTTGTTTATGCGGATGCTGGTGCGGTGTCCTTGCTGGAGCTTGCGCGGAGTCTCTATGGCAGTTGTCGGCTGGCGGGCTTCTCAGGTACCGCTATGGCGAACCTGATCTTTCTACCGCCAAGGGCTGCGGTGACAGAGTTCAACCCTTATCTGCTGTATGCCAATTACTGGCAGTGGTCTTATGCCCTGGACTACTGTTACTGCCAAGTCGCCATCCCGCAGAGCATCACCGCGGAAGAGGCTGAGACCTGGTCCTCGAAAGCTTTGGCCGAACCGAACAGCGACGATCTGCGACGTGGGGTCGAAAAAGCCAGCTTAGAGTTGGGAGTGTCCGAAAATAAGGGGTACCTTTTTGGGGGGTCCTTATAATAAGGATCCTACTATAGAGGGTACTATATTAGGGTCCCCTATTTTCGGAAACCCTCAGTTGTCTTCTGCGCGAGCGAAGCATGGGCGAACCTTTGACAAAAGCGCCTGAGCCTCGCAGGCTCCCGAGCGTCGCGACACCGGGGGCCCAGGCGGAGATCTGAAGGAGCTATTGTATTATTATTAATATTATTGATATTATTATTATTAGTATTCTTGTTATGAGTATTATTATCCATATTATTATTATTGTTATCATTATTATTATTAATATTACTATTGCAATTACTTTGATGTTAGATGCCCCCCATCTGCGGCCTTGCTGTGCAGGTGTCTCCGAAGAGACTCATCTGGTACACTTCTCCGTCGGGGAACGCCTCGTGTACAGTTTCCGATGTTTGGAACAGCGACATGACGGCATCAATGTACTGCACTCAAGAACCTTATCACCGGAGCAGTGAGTGATTGCGCAAAGGTATCCATGTGCTCATTGAGTGGAAAGGTAGACAGATCTTGATTCACAGGTCGTCTCTTCACGAAAGCCCCGTTGAGGCGACTTGCTGCAAAGTACAGGGCGCAGCCCAAGATCAGGAAGGTCGTCGTGACTGACGAGCAGGCCAGGATCTTTCCCTTCGCATCCGAAGATGGGCCCCGGGTAAACCCTGCATTCTCTCCCTAAACCCTGAACCCTAAACCCTAAACCCACCTGTTAGAGTAGTGCGCTTTCCTGTTTTTTCCGAGCCGCTTGGATGGTTTTGAAAAGCGGAGGCCCGCGTGCTGCTTCAGCTCTGCACCTATGCAGATGAGGCTACAGCCGGCTCTTTGAGCAAGGACGCGCAGGACTACGGCGCTGAAGTTGCGCAGCTACTCTTGGAGAACGTGGTGAGTCATTGGAAGTCCAAAAGTGCAGATGCGGTGCTGGCCGACGCCCAGCAGAATGACTTCGAGCTGCGACTGAAGGCCTTCAAGACATTGGGCACCTCTGCCGCCTCTGCCTATACTTATATATAGCCATAGCAATGTTGCTCTTTAGGGTAGGGCGGTTCCCCATAATATACCTATTTCGTACCCAAATTGGGCCTCTTTTTGCTGAAAGAAGGCACCTCTGTGGAAGGCTACGAGCGGGAAGTGCTGTTGGCCTGTGCCCACAGCGGCACCGAGCAGCTGAAGCTTCTCCTGGAAGCCTCCGGGGAGGAGCCGCCCTAAACCCTAAACCCTAAACCCTAAACCCTAAACCCTAAACCCTAAACCCTAAACCCTAAACCCCAAAAGGAGCCGCCCGTGGAAGCTCGGCTCCGGCGCCTGGCGCAGGCGGCCGTGGAAGGCGAGTTCTCGGCGAAGGTGCCGGTTTATGGGGAATGGTTTAGGGTTTAGGGTTTAGGGGTTTAGGGTTTAGAGTTTAGGGTCTACCGTCTGGTGCTCAGTAGGGAATGGGGGAATGGATCCCTATGATAGTCCCTTAAGGTCCCTTATAGCCCTATGATAGTCCCTTAAGGTCCCTCATAGTAGTCCCTATAACCCATTCCCAGAACATTATAGCATATCATACTTTGGTACACTCTACAGTTATAACTATACTATAGAAGGTGCCTCGGAATCCTCGGACTCGGACTCGGAGCGCGGCGCCTGGGGATCCTTCGGATCCTGAGGCTTGCAGCGAGGTGGGAGTTTCAGAAAATTGGGGGTACCTTATTTTGGGGTCCTTATAATAGGGATCCTACTATTTAGGGTACTATATTTGGGTCCCCTATTTTCGGAAACCCCCAGGTGGCCACGCTCCACAGGCCCACAAGGCATGGCTGCGGCTTCTGCAACCAGATCACCGACGAAGGACGCGAGACGCTCGCAAGGCTTCGTTTGGCCTCCGGGCGAGCCGTGGCTGCGGAGCGCCGGGCTGCCCAGCGAGTACGCGTCGCAGGGGCCCTCGCCGCTGCGTCTGGACTGCAACTGCGTCCCGCTGTTCCAGTCGAGCTCCGATCAGACAAGGTTTGCCTCTGCTGCAAAGAGGATGGTGGCAAGCTGCTGCTTTTCCCATGTGGCCACACTGCCCATGCCGCCTGCTTAGGTCGGATTAATGGTCGTTGTCCGGACTGCCAGCTTGATCTGGAAGAGGATGAGGCTGTAGTACTCGATGCCCTGCCATCGATGACGGGAAAGAGACTCTGCAGATTTAGCTCGAAGATCGCTGCGGTTGCCTCAGAGCTGAAGCGTATCGTCAGTCGCGACGAAGGGAAGGGAACAGCACAATGTGTGCTTGTTTGTCAGTGGTCATCTGCTCTGGCGCAGTTGGAAGCAGCTATCACCGAAGAGGGTATGACGCCTTTGGTTCAGCGCGCTGAGAGTACGGACACCGGAGAGGATGCTGACAAGAGAATCATTCTCCTCGCACCCGACTTTGTACAGAATCTCGGCAAAGCAAGCGTGCAAGCGATTTGGCGCGAGCGACTGCTGGCCCCCTGCTCCGTGCGCCATGTTCTGATCATGAACGTTGTGCACAGTCCTGCCAAGCGCCACGAGTGGGAGAGGACCTAACCTGATGCAGTGGGGAGCGCTCCACCTCTTTCGTCTGCTTCTTCCTCTTGCTGTCTGTGTGGTTGTCCTGTGTACGAAAGAAAGATCACTCCCTGGGTCTAGGCAGCTGTCAGTGCTACCCAAACTGAACCCCAGATATCACTCACAGTGATACGCAGATGTAGAGACAGTTAGTTCCTTGGAGGAAGATCCTTGGCTTGGCGCGGATGGAATCCTCTGTGGGCATCCTTCCCGCAGTAGTGCTTCATCGCTTCGTCGTCCACGGCACGGTAAGCCTGCCCTTGGTTCTCCTAGGAATTTCAGTAGGGGCCTGAGCCCTAATCCCTACGGTGCGCCGTGTGCCAGGTAGAGGAGGACCTCGTGACCTCTCAGACCTGAGCTTGCTGTTGCAGCAGCTTTCTGGGTCGATTTTAGCATTTTAGCAGAAGCTTACGGGCATGCCGCCAGGTTCAGGAACTCTAGAGGTCAGGCGCTGTTTCGACCGCATGCCTCACCCGGCGGCTTGTGAAGACTGAAGTTCTGGCACCACTGTACAGCGCCGGCGCAGTTGACAAAACCAGCTATCTCAGTGAGCGTTTTGCATCGCCCTACGAAGAAGCTACAAATGCATTGTAGCAGTTTAAAATCACGTCTATCTGTTTGCTTGTCCAGCTGTCTATCTATCTACCTATCTATCTTTATCTACCCAGTACTCGTACCTACCGATCTACCTACCTACCTACCTACCTACCTACCTACCTACCTACCTACCTATCTGCCTATCTATATATCCATCCATCCAGCCAGTGATCTATCTATCTATCTATTCATCTATCCCCCTATCCATCTATCCGTCTTGCCGTCTATCTATCTATCCATCGATCTATCTATCTATCTATCTATCTGTCTATCTATCTATCTGTCTATCTATCTTTCTATCTATCTATCTATCTATCTGTCTATCTATCTATCTCTGTATCTATCCATCTATCTATCTATCTATCTATCTATCTCTATCTTTCAATCTATCAATCAATCAATCTATCTATTTATCTGTATCTATTTGTACATCTGTAAGCCCCCAAAATGTGTATATATATATATATATATATATACACACATATCCGTATATATCATATCTGCATATGATGCTACATGTGAGGCTGCCGCGCTGAAGGCTGCAGGTCGGCTGAACCGAACCCCGGCGGAGGCTGTAGATGTCTTCTACGGGGAGGCACGTTCCGAAGCCGTCTTTGCAGGAACAGGTTTGGAGTTGAGTTCAGGGAGGCCCTACGCCCTAAACCTTGTTGCTCTTGTTCGCAGGTCCTTGACCCGTTTGCTCTGCACACAGTTGCATTTCTGGCAGCAGTGGCCGTTAGTCATGCGAGTGCAGCTGAGTATGAGAGGCGGCTTCGGCCTGGACGTACGAAGTCCGTTCCTCTGCCGAGGTGGCTTGTTGTGAGCAAGGGTAGCACTGTGTGCCATCATCGTTGGTTGTAGTTGTAGCTTTGCTAGTACCAGCAATACCTATGATCGACAGTAACTATCGGAGTAGCTTAGAAGGAGCAAGGCATGGGAACCCCCGCAGAGGCGGATGTGGCTGAGCTGGCAGACGATGAACAAGGCCGGACTGCTAGTCAGGAGGATCTCCCCTCGTGCTGAAGCCACTTAAGCAGGAACATCCAAGTCCAAAGCTTTACGCAAGGTCTGCGATCCATAGATTCGTGTCGGACTCAATCGCCTTGCTTGGTGCTTGAGTCGGCGAGGCCTCATGGGACCAGCTTGCTGTCCTTGCGACTGCTCTCTACGTTCTGAGGTGTCTAGATCAAATCGGCTACTGCATCGTGGCTGGCAGCACGAGGCCGTGTTCTGCAGTTCTGTCGCTTTGTGACCGAGATCAACTTGCAATCTGCTCTTGAGGCTGATGTCGTAACTGAGGGAGCGAACTTCAGGAAATGCAGGTCTCAAGCAGAGCTCATGTCTTCTGTCCGTGTATACAAATCAGTCCAAACGCACACACTTCATGCGCGTTTGCCATAAGGAAGCGCTGTTGTAAAAAGTTCCCTGCTCGCCAGTCAACTGAAGAGAGCCGTTCGCGGACGCTCACGTGGCATCCTCCACCACTGTAGACTCGAGGAGGACGCTGAAGCTTGTCATCGCAGGCGTGTGCAGAATGCCATCGGCTTTGCTTGAGGGTTCATTCCCCAGATATGGGATCCTTTATGCTTATAGTAGCTCGCTCTTATACTTTAAAGTAACCCTCGCATTTACATTAGCCCTTGTTGTTGTTGTACTTGGCAGAGCCTTAGAATTAGAGTAGTCCTTGTAGTCATGTGACCTGAGAGTTATAGTAGCACTTGTAGTTATCACAACTTTGGAGATAGAGTAGCCGTGATAGTAATCCAACGAGTTCTAAGTTGTGCAGGACGACGAAGCTCCTCCCCTCGTGGATCCAGAGCAGGCGGTGCTTATGTTTCAATATACTCTGCTGTATTCACTATGCTGCATCATATTCTGTTACACCCTACACTATGTATTCTCATATTATGTTATCTTCTGCCGTCCTCCATTGTTTTTTGCATTCCATTCTATTCTATTGGTTTCCTTTGAATTCTTTGCCTAGAGTCATTCTTCACCATCTCAGCTGCAAAACGTCTTTCAACCTCTCTCCTTTCTGACCCCCCGGCGTTTCCCGAAGCGTCTCGGAATATCTGAGGCATATTCCAGTGGAGCCTTTTCCCTAAGCACCCTAAGGAAGGCTTAGGGTTGAGGGTTCAGGGTTCAGGGTTAGGGTTGGCTGAATCTGAAGCCTCTTGGACTCCATGGCCGAAGGTAGCAAGAGAAGGATTCGGATGCCACAATTCAGATGCCTCAAGCCACCCTGAACCCCAAATCTCAAATCCCTCCTCAATCCACCCTGAACCCCAAATCTCAAATCCCTACATAAACACTCAACCCTGCAACACTATTCTAACTATGAAGGCCCCCACATTACGATTGGCAAACTTGGAGCCTTAGGGCACCCTAACCCTAAACCCTAAACCCTTAGCCCTAAACCCTAAACCCTAAACCCTAGAATCTCTGAGATCCTCAATCCTTGCAGGCAGCCGTCTATGCCAGCCATTGTTCTTCGAGGAAGGCCCGGGTGCAGAAAGCCCTGCTACTGCCATGTGGGAGTTTCCGAAAATTAGGGGTATCTTATTTTGGGGTCCTTATAATAAGGATCCTATTATTTGGGGTACTATATTAGGGTCCCCTATTTTCGGAAACCCCCATGTTCTTTTGGTGGCATCCTATCGAAGGGTCTGGTATCTGAGAGTAGGTTATAGCATGTTGTAGTCTATTGCATTTTGTGGCATCTTATCGAATGGTCTGGTATCTGAGAGTAGGTTATA